TATATGAATTTCGCGAGTCTAGACCATAATATCGTTATTTTATACCGCAGAACTCTAAAGTCGATTACCGACAAAATATTTTTCAGCATTGACTATTATTTTTCATCGTCAATATAATAATATTTTGTATTTTCTTAAATGGCACCGATATACGCAGCGGTGGATGACATATAGGCATTTTTCTTTTCACTGGGAAAACTTTTTATGAGCCCCCATAACGACGGCATCACCTAACGCGGCCCCTCTGAAAAATTGCTTGTCAGTTTTTTTCCACTACAGCACCATACAGAAATTGTTAAATAAAACAATAATTTAAATAATACGACATAATTTATAGGTATAAAATAAATTTTGTTTTATTAAAGTGTGAACATTTTTTTAAAAAAAACATTACTCTTTGTTGAAACTTGTTCAATTTCATAGAACTAATGTTGGTCAAATTATTTTTTCAACCCTCATAATAATCACGTTTTCTCCGTGATCATGAAATATATAGAACTTCGTAAATCATTTTTAAAATACTTCAATATTTATTGATGATTTTTATTATGAAAACGCATTAAAATATCGAAAAAAAGGGAGCGATTAATATATAATATTAATGAAAATTGAATTTAAATGTTTTTTTTTTTTTGGTTATTCATTGAGTTTTATCTAACATTTTTTTGGCGGGGAGGAGAAAACGATATGTTTTCCCACTACGATTTGCCCCCCCCCAACCCTTGTTTCAGCGCGCCGCTACGGCTAAAAGGCCGCGTCTTATTACGCGATGAGCTAAAAAATGAATTTACCATACAAACACAAAGCACTAATAATAATAATAATAATAATAATAATAATAGTGTAATCATAATATTGCGGCAAAATAAAAACAAGGGTTTCGACGGCACACTGTTTCCGATCGAACAAGTACCGCCGAGATAGGGTGCGCGCGAAAGGGGGTAATTGGTTAACTTTTTATTATTATTTTTTTATCATTGTTTATCATGTCGCCGTCAAATGTACCGTGCAAAACGAAGCGTCGCCGGAGGGAAATTTAGGGAGCTACACGGGGTATGTTTGCACACGCGGAAACGTCGTTCGATCAACTCTCCGCGGCCGGTAAACGAATGCGAAATGAACCGTCGTCGTGCATACAGGGCGGCGCGCGTGTGCAAAGCGGTCGACAACGGAACCGACATGCATAATAACATCGTTTTACATTATTTTATTCGCTTTGCACGAGCCCAGAAACCCTTTGACATTCGTCGGTGTAATCAATCGTTTTCGAATAATTTTAGTGCACAGAAGATCCGGTTTCCGGCCGACCGTTTCGAAAATGTTTTAAAAACGCTGAAAATTAAATGACTGCAAGTCGCGTACGTACGTTTATGACGGAACGCTTTTCAGACAACGGACGGACGGACGGCAAAAAAAAATTGCCGTATACGGAAAATTATAACATAACATAGACTCGTCTGCGCGCACAGTGTTGGGAAGTCCAAACGAATTCTGAAATATTATGTCGAACGAATGGCGCGCTAGTTGACGGCGAGGGTATTGGAAAACCCCCCCGGATCCGAAATGGAAACGGGCGCGGCGTTTAGAGGGGAGGGGGGAGGCACAGGGACCATGTGGCCCTCCCCTAGACATCGGACTACCTACGAATAATAACTGTTTTCGGTAATCCGCGTTGAAAACTCAGCGTGTTAAAAACTCTGAACAAATGGCCTCTGCAGACAGTTGCGCTGTCGCGTTGGGCGGTCAGCGGCCGCGTCGTTTAGGCCAGGGCCCGTGTTGGTTATGAAAGCGTAATCGTCGGGCGCCGACGGTGGATACGTTGTCCGCGGCCGTCCTAGAAAGCGGATTCGGATCGGCCGCCGGATGGAGTGGCGGCGGGAGCGCGACTCTGCGGCAGCGGCGCGCGGCCGGCGAACGCCAACTGCAAAAACAATCCGGCCGAAACGATCGCGCTGTATAATGTAGGTAAAGTACGCGGAGCAAACGTTACGCGGACTATCGCGTGCTCTCGACAAAATATCGCGCGCGCGACGTAATAACGTTGTCCGTTTGTCGTGCGTGTACGCTCGGGCACGGGGGGGAGGCCTCGCCTCCGGGATGTTTATTTGCCGCAGTCGTCGCGCGCCGGCAATTTGCCCACGCGTTCCGTTCGCGCGCGCGCGCGCGCGTGCGTGCGTTCTTCCCGCGATCGTACAGCGTGCGTCGCGTTACACGCGCGCCGCGCGTCGGACGGGCTCGCCGGAATCGGTTACTTCATTATTATTTACCATCTCCGGTCCGGCATTCTCGTTCCGCGTCGCCGAGGGATTCGCCGCCGCGCGGCCCCCGCCGTCCCGGGTTTTCGGTGTACACGGTTGGAACTCGGCTACTCCGTTCAATTAGCCCGGGCGCGGTGACAATCGCCCGCGGACAACGCGGTTTTTTACGGCAGAACACTTGCTGGCGGCGGCGCGGCGGGTACTCCGGGAATCGGGCTCTACAACATTTGTGTAGAATGTGCTACGGTTTTTCGGCGCGTAAAATAAGACACGCGACGTTCAACTGCGTTCACTTGAGGCTGTATTCGCTGAACAAATATGAAATGCAAAATTTATGGTAATATACGTACCTAAACGGCTAAAAACGATCGTTATAAAATATTGGCATTTCTAACGACAAATAAATAATCATTCAAGCGAATGTATGTAAACTTCATTGTTATAGGAGTATGGAAGTGTACGACCTTAAGCCGCCCCTCCCGCGGCGATGTTTATTTTTTTTTTTGTAAACGCGCCTGGCTGGTCGGTATAACGATTAAAAAGAAAACTGAATCGTAATAATCATTGCGTACCTATATAGCATAAATTATTATGTACTGATACAGACGATTTTATTGCATACTCGTTTAACGTATTTTGCCGCGGAGACAGATGCCATTCACCGGCGATATTTTTGCATAATGCTATTAAAATGCGTTGCGCCGCCGCCGCTGCCGCGTGGTCACAGAACGTGTCGCGGTGTTTTCTCCACGCCGCGGCCGACGGCGCGAGAATTTATTCGTTTAAAAGTCTCGAGGTGCGTAACCGCGGCGGCGAGGGTAACGAGATTCCGGCGGAAATCGTTCGACTATACGTAACGGTTCTCCGGTGGAAAATTGTTCATTAACGTCACGTCGGGTGTCGTACTTTTTTAAGATAGTTCTGCCGACTGTGTTTCGCGCCGCGCCGACCCTTTTCGCGGAGAATCTGGCCGCCCCCCTCCCCACCCCCCTCCAGAATACGGGATGACGGCACAATATCGAATTAAGAGTTTATGAATTATTCAAAAAGTGATTTCCGCCAAAGCTCATACGCGAGATCCGCGTTCGTATATTTATTATTGTTCGCGGGTGACGCGTCCCGAAAGATCGCGGCGACGACGTTTCCTCGCATCGTACGCAAAACGTATTAGTCGGTCATGTACATTAATTTAACGTCACCATTTAAATTCGTCAGAAAATGTCTTTATTCCGTTGAACGACGGCGAACTGAATTACATCCGAGGTGCGTTATACGCACGACGAACTCGTCACCACGTCGCTTTTTTAGTCCGATAATTTTATAATTTCGTAATTCGATTTTGACGAATATTAAAAAAAAAAAATAATAAATGTTCGAAAAAAATATTACTATCAAATATTACCTGTATTGTTAAAAGAGCTATCCTAGGATAATGGGAACGGACAAAGCCAATGTTGTAGGTGGGAAGTTTGAAAAGTATAGAATACAGTGAGAAATTTATCAGTAAGCAACGATAAATCATTGCTAACGAAAAAACGATTCAGTTGATTGCGATGCTTAGTCAACTATACATATTCATATATATCACATCGTGATAAAACAATTAAATATGCATTATGTATTTTCTTTAATAAAATATGTTTAATATTAAACTGATATTCCCATTATTCCCGGTTATTCACATTTGTTGAGAAAACTCCTAAGAAAATAGAATAATGACCTTCTTCAAGTACCTCCTCATACTGATTTCTTTTTAAAAAAGGTGCTACACTTGGTACAGAGCAAGATCTCAGGGAAAAAATATTGTCTACAGAAAAANCTGATATTCCCATTATTCCCGGTTATTCACATTTGTTGAGAAAACTCCTAAGAAAATAGAAAAATGACCTTCATCAAGTACCTCCTCATACTGATTTCTTTTTAAAAAAGGTGCTACACTTGGTACAGAACAAGATCTCAGGTAAAAATATTGTCTACAGAAAAAAAAAAAATAATAATAATAATAATAATCTTTGTAAAACCATAAGCTTCTTAGCTCCATAGACATGCGCAGGTCCTATTGGCAGGGGGGGCAGAGGAGATTTAATAACCTACTCATACATTTATTATTCCACGATTTTCTAAGCTATATTGCTATGCATGCTATAGACTAAATAATAATAATAATACATATTTCGCNGGGAAAAAATATTGTCTACAGAAAAAAAAAAAATAATAATAATAATAATAATAATCTTTGTAAAACCATAAGCTTCTTCGCTCCATATGCGTGCGCAGGTCCTATTGACTGGGGAGGCAGGGGAGATTTCATAACCTACTTATATATTTATTATTCCACAATTTTCTAAGCTATATTGCTATGCATGCTATAGACTAAATAATACATATTTCGCGCCATAAATGTTTTCTTGGAATAGAATATTTATTAGTTTTTTTTTTTAACCACGACCATATTATCAACGCGCAGTCCTTTTGTTGATAGTTCTATGGCTATCTCTCTCACACTACGATAAACGAACTATACATACAACACAGGAAAGGGATGTGTAACGAACGGTCTATAGAGCTGTGGTGGATAACAACGCTAACTTCAAACCTATCAGCAGCCATTATATCTCATTACGTTCATGCGTTGTTCGCAAATAATTTTTCTTTAATTTATACAAACTAATATAATCATAATTGTAGTTAATTTAGTATTTTGTTTTTTTGAAGTTTGAACCTTTACATCAATCTGAACTATGGAATTACTGTAAGTATTATTTAACCACGGAAATTGAAATTGTTAAAATTGTAAATACCATTATTTTAGAGTTAGGACCACATTTTATGAAAACGTTAATTGTCTATTTATACATATTAACATTCATTATACTTAATAGTTATTAAGGATTAAAAATCCACAGTCTGTGCAGATACATTTACAAAAGAAAATATTATCGCTGTATAAAAATTATTTAGGTCAGATTTCTGAAAGCACTAATTTAACACCTATATTACATATGTATTTAAAATGTCAAAAAATGTTTCAAATAATTTATGATTAAAAAACCAAAAGAAAATTATGTATCAACACTTACATAATAATATTTCAATTATTATAAAATTATTATTGTTGGATAATTATTAATATATTATCGTATACTCAGTACATTTTCTTGTATGTTTCCTTGTCTTCAAAACCCTGATATAATTTGAAATTATTATTATAATATTATTTAGGCAATAGCTATATAGGGTAACTCAAAAAGTAAATCGTTAAGTTTCTAATTTTTTTGAAGTTTAAACAAATTATTTTTCATGGAAAAATTGGTAATTTTATTTAAATTTGTTTTGAAGTTTATAATAATTTAATTTGTTTTCACTATCACCACAAAATTATACCAATTGATTCACCCAATCATTCTATGAAAAATAATTAGTAAATATTTGTTACACTAAAATTTTATTTGAAAATATATTTATACATTTGTCATCACGGATTTTGTGGAAAAAAAAAACTAATTTTTTTTTTAGTTTAAAAAAAATAAATAAGATAGTATGAGCCTTTTGTTATTATTTCAAAAAAAAAAATGTATAATATTGAGCAGAACTAAAGTTCAATTGAATTTTTCAAATCTGCGTGGTTTACAACAAAATTTCACATACTTATTTGTTTAACATTATGTTTTTAATTATAGGAATAATTTGTCTAATAGCACTAATGTTATACACTGTCCGTTTAATAAGTACCATACAATGGCACCTAAAAAATTCAATTTGCATTTGTTAAAATGTCCGGATAGAAAACCAAATTTCAAACATTGTTTTTATAATGACCAGCATGTAATGCATAAATCAGAGTTGGAAGTAAAATATCAGTCAATATTATTTTTTTGAATTTTATTATATTATATTCAAACTTATATTTAGAAACACGAAGAAAATTGTCCCAATCGTATTTTAATGGATCAGTACTTATACCAATCAAAAGACGCAAAGCGTCCAAATATTACTGTATCGGCTGAACCTCCATCACAATGTGATGAAGAGGAATCATGGAATCAAGTATGCATTCATAAAAAATTGAGTAATAAATATAATAGATTAAATTATTTTATAATCGTTGGATTAGCTATTTTAAACATTCCATTTCACGTTCGGTATAGCCTGCTATTATGCAGATATTTTAAGTACCTACATTAAATATTGATAATTCGTTTAATTTCTAGCCGGCTGCTAATAAAATAAATGTCATTGAAACAATTAAAAATGTACCTAATTTTATGAAACCGAATTCTGAAATGACTAGATCCGAACGCAAGAAAAATAAAAAAAGTAATGGTTGCAATATCAATTTGGCTTATGATCAATATAAAACTATAAATGAAGTAAGTGTACACACTCAAATATTATTCTCACATTTTGATTATACAAATACTTTAATTATCTATTTGGTATAGAGGAGGGTCAACACATGGTTAATTGTGAAATAAATAAATAATATTTTATTTCTGATTATTAAATATTTAAATACTCTATAATTGTATACCAATTCAAAGGTGAAAAGTTGAAATAAATAGGTTATTCATAATTTAAAATTTATTGATAATTGTTCTTTACTCTTATTTCTAGAAAGTTATAGTAAAATGAACTTTGGATATAATAATATAATTATTTCCAAATATTCATATTTTAATCAATAGATTTTAACGTTAACATTAACTAGACATATATGGCTAATTAACCAAAATAATCTGACTAGTCAAAAGCCTAACTTTAGTTTAGATGTTTTATTTTTTTTGTAACTAACTTTTAAAATTATTGTTTTAGAGATTAACCGAAGCTGCAGGCAGTAGCTCAAAAGTACGTATTACTTAAAACTAGATTATATTTATTTCACTTAAAGGAAATTAAATTTATTAAAAAAAAAACAACATATTTCTAAATTTTATTTACTAAATTTTGTGAAATAGCAATGCTTTTACAATTTTCGTTAATGCTTTATTATAAAATTATTTTACTAGTATATTACGCTCAAATGTTTTGGTTTTTAATATTAGTTAATCCTATAATAAATCTCTTAATGAAATGTAGAATAATTTAAATTGTTTTCATTACTAGTACTAAATAATAACAAACTATTCGAATTTGTCAATGATAAAAAATCCGATAATAATATTTTTATACTTTATAAAATTATTGAAATTGGGTATTACATAATTAATAAATATTTGTAACACGGACATTTTGTTTTAAAATATAATGGTATAATGACTTTTGGATATTGTAAAAAAATTACGATTTTGTTAAATTTAGTATAAAAAAAATTTAATTATTATACGTAATTACGCTTTTTTTTTTTTTCATGCAATTTTTAGAAAATAATAAAAAATTTTGAAATAATCGCATTTGAATAATTTTTTATTAAATTAATAATAATGGTATTTAATTAAAAAGTATTGACGCTCTAAAAACATTAATATCTTTTTCTGTTAAAATCAATGTTTCCAGAAATAATACTAATATAGTTTATCACATTTTTAAACAGTTCTACATAATCTTATTATAATATATATTAATATCCAATTTTTTAAAAATGATATATTATTTAATATTATATTCTGATCATTATTTTTTTTTTTTTAAATACTATAAAATGTGTAAAGAAAAAACATTTAATAATGCCTATCTCTTTTTTTTTTTTAGTCCAACGTGAACAATTGAAAGAACCAAGAAAATTGTATACAATTTATATTTTAATGACAGTTTTTTTTTCCATTTTCACAATATATTTAAAGTATAATGTATTTAAATAAAAAAAACTTAATACAATTATGATTTATGTAATATTTGTCACTAGGAATATAGATACATTGTTTTTGATTAATAAATGTCAAAATAGTTTAAAGCCTTAATTTTATGTCTATTTTATTTTATTATGAAGGGA